GAAAAACAGGGGAGGTACTTTTGACTCGGGTCAGTTCTCTGCTCCAGTTTGCCATGTGGCACAACTCAGTGTGTCATCTGCTTTGGCAAGAACTCATGGGGAGGCAGAAAAGAGGGTGACTTAATTGAGCCAGATTTTACTTTTACTATCTCATTAAACCATGGCTGCAGCCCCTCATGCTCAGTGCAATCACCGTCTAAACACAGATGTTTGAAGAACTCTATCATGTTTTGTTTTTAGTTATTATTAAAGACAGCTTTCATAGGAACTATGAAACAAACTTGTGATCCGTAGAAATTAAATATTAAAAGCTGGTTGAATTATTTACATCCATTTGCTATTTTCACCTTTTGTGGTATAAACAGGTTGCCATTTAAGCCTCATTTTACATTGTCTGTGGATAATCTCTATGAAGGAGCTCCCAAGATTTTTTCATGTAGGGGAAGATTATAGCCTGAATGTAAGCAAACCAAGGTAGATACTGGCTAATTCAGAAGATAACTCAAAGACAAATTGCCTTTTTTCAGTAGTTTCTTACTTTGAATTGTCTGAATGAATGTTTTTCTTGTTTCCCCATGAGAAGAGCAGTTGGTAGGACCTTGAGACTGAAGTCTCACTGCCACGTTGTCAGAAAGAGATAAAAGAGTGATTGTGAGCCTGTTAATCTACCTTGCTGGAGGTGTAAAACCACTGTGCAAGAGATGAAGCAGGTTGGTAAAGTGGACATGTCATAGTTACCACTGAACTGAAACGTGCACATATTGTCCCTCTGGGATTTGCACCCAACCTGGCATTTCAGTGCATGAGGAAGAACATGGCTTTTGTGCCACGACAGGGTTAAGTAATACAAAAATAGGTTAAAATAACAGCAGCTATATCTAAAAACCATTTAAGTCTCATCAAGCCTTCTAAGTAAGATTATCTCAGGTCTTGTCTTCTTGTTTGGCTGTAAGGTCCGAAGTTCCTTGTTTTGTTGTTTAATTTTTTGTTTGTTTGAGGTTTTTTCCCCTTCTTTTATATATATATATATCTATATATCTGATGCCAGACAAAAGCTCAGCTATGCTACAGGAATTCTCCTTTAAGTGCAAGTTTTCTGCATAGGCTTGTAGTATCATATGCTCTTTCAAAAATTATCAAGAGAAGCTGCAAATCTTACAAGACTGCAGACTGTTAAAGACTCAAAGGTCTTCGGATCATGCAATAGCTTCTAGGGCACATTGTTCATTACAGACAGTAATCAACGCAGGGATTATTGAGGATCTTGATAAATGATTCTGTGATGTGACACTGGCCATAGCTTGAAGAGAAAGATTGAGATCTTTATTCCTGAAAATATTAAACCCCTGACTTTGATGGGATTGCTTGTATGATTTAAATTAAAAACACTTTTTGGAAGAGAATTAATTTCCAGCCTACTGGAATGTGCATATTTTTAATTATTTTAACCAAATTTTCTTGCTTGTTCATCTGTTTCCAACATTCATTCTTTAAGTAATTTAAAAAAATCTAATTGTCAATAAGTTGTTTATCCCAGCGCTATATAAACCAATTTAATTCACTTGGATTTACAAAAAGGCTTTTTACAAAGTTCATTACAAAAGGCTCTTCAGGAAACAAACAGATCGTGAGTTCATTCGTCCTCTCCCCATGACGCTCCATCTGTCTAGACTATATCTATTCTAGACACATAATAACCTTTGCACGCATCCAGGAAGGAACAGACTCTTAAAAATTACTCCCAGAGTTGAGCTGCATATGTTTTCGTATGTTTTTGGGTCGTTTTATATTCTATAAGGTGTCCATTCTGGCAGTAATGCGGTGAAAACATATGTAGATGTGTCAGGAAGATTCCTGCAACAATTTTGCTTTGCAGAATCCATTTACAAATGTTGGACATAGTGCTACTATTGACATTATTTGTATTTTGTAGCTCTTGGTTAATGGGGGCTGGTCCCTGAGGACAGGGTACCACATGTGTTTTGAGAGCAGTAACATCTGCTAGGTCTTTTCTGTCTCTTGAGAGGTGGTTTCTGCAAACTCCACAAAAATCAGAGCTTGGCTTAAAAAGCGTCTTTCCAGAGTGGAAAACTGATTTGTACAGCTCCAGCATTAGTGTTTAGGGAGGAACAGCAAACTGCTGAGACTTCCAGCGCTGAGTTTTGCCGTGCTCTGACTGGGAGAGAGTAGAAGTGTTTTCCACTGTTCAGCTATTTGGCTGTATACACAGATGAAGGCCCTGTTCCTGCCTGACCTGCAGAGGTGGTGGTTCGCATGAGCAGGTTCTGGTAAGGCCATAAATGACCTGATACCTCCCAAAGCCTCAGCCCTGCTCTGACTCCCAGCACTTTGCCTTCTACTTGTGCAGTTACGAGCCAGTTATAACCTGAGGGCTGTAAAGCAGATGCTGTAATAGTCCTGAGCGTGCCATAGGCTTCTCCACAGGCAACCACCATTCATGCCACCAAGTCTCATAGGGCTATGACTCAGAGATAAAAATATAGGGGATATGCTCATTGTGCTGTATCTGAAATTGACGTGCTTGGGATTTCATTTTAATCTTTCTGTTGGAGAACTGAAGTTTTGCTCTTCCTGTTCATACCAGCAGTGTGATTTATTTACGATTCTAGCTGTTCCCAAAATAAGGGAAATAACTCTGTGAAGAGTTCAGCAGTAAACGAATTGCTTCCCCACCTCTAGAAGTCTGCAGGTACCTGTCTCAGGCCATCATTCCTGAACGTTGTTATTAGTTCTGCCTGTGATAACTGCTATAAAATACTATTTTGCAGAGACACTAGTGGGTCCTGTAGGGTTTTTATGCTGCAGAAAACTGCCGTACTGCATAAGGGAAAGCCTTGATTTAGGATATGTGCCCCTGGGGGGTAGAGTAAAGTGAGGCGGCCTAAAGGCCAAACCTCAGAGAATCATTGTTGCTTTGGGACAGAAAGCCAAAGGGCCCACTTTTCTGCTGAGAGTCAGGCTTTAATTCTGTCATTTGCATCTTTGCTGGTGGTTCAGTTTTCCTTTCTGTACATGTGATGTTGGTGTACATCCGCATGCACAAATCTGCATTGTTACAACTCCACCTTGCCTGGCTCGCAGTCTCACAATGCAGAGCTGCAGGGCAGGAGTGCTGTCCAGCTCTGTCACTGCAGGCAGATGGGAGCGAGGACAAGGCACTGATATGCACTGTGGTACTTGTCTGCCTCCACATCTGTTGTGAAGCTTCACGCGTTTTCACACAGTGCTGTAGGAGCTGTGGACAAAAGCCGGTCACTGTTGGAGGGACCATCACTGACCCACAAGTGGCATTGCCAAACTGTAACTGCAGAGGCAGAAAGCATAAATCTTTGGGCAGTGCAGCCAAGCCTTCTCCTAAGCTGAAGTAATTCTTAATTCTAAATTCAGGTATTTGGAAGGTCCCACAGTGCTCTCTAAACCCCGTACGGCACTCTCCAAAATCTGGAAGCTCCGTCTTCTCTTGCTTTGAAGCCAAGAACACTTAGAGCTAATTGTCTCTTCTTTGCCCTTGCCATTGACCTCATTTATGGAGATGAAAGAAGTAAAAACAATTAGCTCACCGGGAAATTCTATTATGTAGAAGGGAGGTGGACATTTGATCAATGCTCATGGGTTATGGTCTCAGCTGGAAGGGCAGATTTTTGTCTCCCAGATGGAGCGATGCCCATTAATCCCAGAGGCTTTGCAAGTGGGAAAGATAGTGATCCAATCTTTCACTTCTGTAAAACTAAAAGATGCCATTTTAATCCTCTCAAGTAGTGAACTGGAATATACATTGGACATAACTCATCCTTTTGTTTAGGATGAGTAAAAGTGCTCATTAGTGAAATGAAAAAAACTTCGTTTAACTATGCCTAGCTGTGTAAAGGAGAACCCATCCCAGCCTCTTGCTCCCCCAGATCAGAAGTGATTTCTCTTTAACTGTTTCATAGTATCAGCTTACTCCATTCAAAACATAACAGGTTGTCTGAGAGCCCCCCCGTGCTCCTTCACCTCGCTGGCACGAGTGGGGCTCCTGAACACAACATATCCATGCTATGGGCTGCAGCACACACTGGCCACAAATGCGTAGTGTGCCCCACTGAGGGCAGCCTGTGCTACTGGAGCTTCAGCTGTGACTCCAAAGCAGCATCTCCCGTAAATTGGAGCAGGTGAAGTAGATCCGGTTGCTCTTGAATGTTAATGTTCTCATTGAAGCAAACGAGCATATATTAGCAGAGGCAAGGATAAGTAGACTTTTGCCTTTGAAGCTTCTGTTGCATGGTTTGAATCACTATTTTTTCCTAAGCACTACAGAAAAAGCATTAGTTAATCATGTTTAAGGTTTGTTATTGTGAACAAACAGATATGCCAGTATTTTAGGGTTCAAGATTTAATCTCTAGTGAGAGAAGTATTTATTAGCTTTATAAAGGTATGGCTTATTTGCTGTAAACTTTAAAGCATATACTAGCAGTGTTTATGGTAGGGTATTCTTGCACCTCAGCTAGTGTCCCCTAATATTCACTTACTATTTTCATGGCATTAGTTGCCTTTTGGATTGGATAATTTACCACACGGAGTAAAGCAAAAAGTCTGCTGAGCCTCCTCTTTTACTTCCAGCTATAACTAATGTAAGAGTTAATGTATGTTGTGTTTTTACTCTACCTCCAGTTTAAGAGTCTTGTCAGTTTTTACTCATGTTAGTGTAAGAAGCCTTTAAGCTATTCTGATAGCAGGGAGATCATAAACTACTTCCTTTTGTCAAGGTGAGAAACAGAGCAATGTCATGACAATGCGCTTTAGTGTTCCTGGCACTGGATTTAGAACATTATAGCTGTGAGACACAAAGCAGTAATTCCATATATCTTTATCCTGTCAGTTAAAATGTGTGGGGGTTTTATTGTTGGTGGTGGTGATTGGGTTTTTTAAAGTACAATGATTTAGCTTCATTTGAGTAGGGTTTTTTTCCAGTTCATGCACCTCTTTTGTTTTCCAGTATACAACCAGCCCTTCCACCAGTCTAGTTACTAGTCACTTTTAGCCATCATGTGCTTGTTTTTCACCAGGAGCTCAGCTGGTGCACCAGACCACACCTCATGCAGGTAAGCTCTGTGTGTCTCTGGTAGTCCTTTGGCTCCCATTCCTGCTTTTTTTTGCTAGCTAGACCCCAGAAAATCTGCTAGGGTTCTGTGGTCGAGCAGATGAGAGACAGGTGTTTCTGATTAAGGCAAGTGATAACTGATCTGCTGCACCTTTTTCAGCATCAAAGCTCTTGACTGTTGGGTGGTTGAAGGTTGTGCATGGTTATGAAAGCTGCTGTGCTTGGAGGATCCTGTTGACTCTAGGTAAGGATTCCTTGTACTGCTGATTCCCTAGTGCTGCTGGAAGTCTCCTTAGGAGCCACTGGGTAACGTAAGAAAAGTGCTTTCTGCTGTTGTTGTTATTCAATTTGCATTAGTCCTGGTTCTTGCTACGTGCACTGCCAGGGGGTGGATGGGCTGGGTTGATTTTGTTGATGGTGCTGCCTGCTGAATGTTGTGTTCTAGCATCGGGTCCAGCTGGCTGTGTGTCCCTGGGTGGCAGGGGCTGGATCACCAGGTACTGTGTGCTGTGCCCTGTGAGCACTCCTGGTGGTGCGCTGGCCAAGGCTTGCAGCTTCTGTCCACTTTTCTTCAGCCCTCCTCCCTCAAGTTTTTAGCTGTCAGTTTTTAAGAAGGTAAACAGCAATGCAGAACTGCCTGTGTGCCACAGTAGTGGTGATTTGCTCCTGCTAAAAGTGAGGCTTCTGTGGGGAAGCTGGGCTGGACCCTTGCATGGTTCCCCTTTGTTCAAGAAGAGGCAGTTTACAGCTCCTGTATCTTCATTATATGCATATTCATTATAATTCCACTAAATGCCCACCCAATTCTCGTTACTCATGCACATGGTAATCTGGGGAGATAAGGCCCTGGCGCAGGCACTGTGAATTTTGAGGAGTCGTCTCTGGAGGTTGTGGTGGTCATTTGCAGTGAAATACCCTACTTGTTTTACCCTTCTATGGAAATCCCTTAGTTAAGGACACTAGAATGTGTTTAGTCTTTCCGATTAACTACATGGTCTTGTTTGGGCTCATCTACGATCCTGAGAGGCTCCTCGAGCTGTTTTCTTCAGCAGTTGTTTACCTATTCCTCAGGCCTTATCAACAGGAAGAAGGCCTGCACTGATCTGAGAGAAGACATCTCATTCTCTTGTTGCATGCATTCCTTATCTCTGTCTTCTATGCACAGTAAAATTCGAGTTTAAGAATCCTTGTAGCCTAAGTCTCTATATTCAGTGAAATACTAATTTAATTTGATATTGGTTATACAGTGAAATATTAATTTAATTCGGTGTCACCCTCAACTTGGCAAACAGCAGGGCTTCCTAAGGTGTGTGCTGGGCATGTCTAGGCATGCTTTAGTTCCCAGCCTGGGTCCAGCTGTGACCAGGGAACAGGGACAAGCTGTTGTGTGAACTGGCAAGAAAAGGAGATGGTCTGTAAGGTGGTTTGTTGAGCTGTGTGGACACAGCAGCCACTTTTGCTTCTCTTGTGGACAGTTGATGCTTGATACTGTATGCAGTGAAGTTATGGTAGCACTGAAGCAGCAAGGAGAAGCTGATTTGGGCAGGAGCATGCATGCTGTTTTCATGTGGGGGTGTTTGGTGTGGATTGTCTCTAAGAGGTGTATAGCTGCTCTCAACAAGCAGGACGGGCATGAGAATGAGTCTGTTGTCAGTAGCCCTGGTCATTCAGCAAGCTAGAATGGGGTACAGCTCTTGCAGTGCCGAGATGCAAATAAAGGTCTGATCCAGCCATGCAGCCTTTCTACAAGGCTGTTTCTTGGGAGTGTGGGTGACCTTGGGGACAGAAGAGCTGTCCTTCCAAGAGGGCTGCGCAGAAAGCCATGCAGTATTGCAGAAGAGGCACTTTTGCAATGCACCAGGTGGTGGGGATCAGCACAGGCTGGGATCAGTGCAATCTGGAGTACCAGGTGGCATGCTGAAGCCTGGTGCCAGCACAGACTTGCTATCGTTCTCATCATATAATTCATTGGTGATCTTGCTAATTTGAAATCCAATCTATGTTTTGTATTGGCTTAAATATGTTCTGCCAAATGAGTGGTAGTGTGAAAATCTAGCATTAATTGTTTGTCAAGGCACAGTAGAAGCCACAGTCAAAAGTGAGTATGACTCACAGAAGAAGTATTTTTCACCTTTATTTCTCCTTCTCTTCCTTTCCTGCTCACTCCATCACCCTTATCTGTATAGAGTGATGCTTTAGGTAAGCACTAGGACTTTAGCATTGAGAACTGTGCAAAGGTACTATTTGGGGTGCTAGAGCTGCTGAAATACTCTTGAGTAGCAGATGATGGGTTTGTATATCACCACTGAGTTTCTGGTGCTCTGTATCTTTTCCTGGGTGTATATAGTGGTATTTTGCAGCAGGGACAGGTTCAGCGACCTTTTGATGGGTCATCAGCATGTGATTTATTCTCGCTTCTTACACAGTTGTGAAGCAAATGCTGCTGGCACAGTTTGCAGGTAAGACTGCACTGCAGATTAATCTGATGTGATGGGACTGCTGCAGTCTGGAGGGATGAATGTATGGCAGTCTCTAAAGCAGGGTGACTTCTCAAGTCTGGCTTGCGATATGGCAAAACAAGGTGAGATATTTTTGAGTGTTTAGTTTAAATAGGTGGAGTGTTTTGCCTTCTCCTTGCTACAGCATTTTGTATCTATTTTTTTTTTTTTTGGAAAATAACTAGCTTTAAAAATGTGGGTGTATCTGTGGCAGAAGTAGTGCTGAATAGAAACAGTGTGAAGCAAACAGTGGTGTTTGCAAGCTGTCGGAGATGCATGCCTCCTTATTGATCCTCTGGGTTAGCAGAATGTGACAACCTATAGCAACAGAAGTGAACAAACATTGAAGACTATAAAGGGTCTGATTAAAAATGTATTAAATTGAACTCGAAGCCTCAGAAGGATATTTGTGTTGTGATTTTTTTTTTTTTTTTTCTTAGCAGTGTTTCTAAATAATCTGGAGTGAATTAGAGCCCTACAATTGGAAATTTAATTTGGGGTCATCTTTAAGTGAACTCTAAAAGCATTAAACTCTGTTTGGCCATGATTTCTGCTTTGGGCATCGGCCCAGCGTGTCATCTCCAAATCAATTCCAGGGTCCCTTTCCAGCCTAAGCTACTATTGATTATTTCTCTTCCTTTTAACAAAAAGTCATCTCTATGGTGATCACATTATATATCTTCTTCAGGAAATCATAAAGTCCTTTTGAGACCAAAGGAAGCTGCTGCATGAGGAAGCGCTGCGTCTTGTGTTTGGCAGCAGTGCAGCAATCAGCACGTGTGCCCGCGTTCACAGGTGTCCTCCTGCCAAGGCCACATCTTGGGCTTACAAGGCTGCAACTGCTTGGAAGTCATACAAAAGGGAGCATCTATCTTGGGCATGTGCCCTTCCTGGTCTGGAGTTTTGGAGACAGGCTGGATTACTTCTTGATTCACTTTGGAAGCGAGTACAGTCCTGGAGAAAGGGCACTGCAGTTAGGGGGGTTTTGCTTCTGATGGTGCATATCAGAGGCACTGGGATGTGTTGTTACCTGTGTAGTGACAGGCTGTGACATACACACAGGAAGTCTCATTCTTGACCTAGCTGTGGTTGTTCCTCTGTTGTGTTTTGACAGAAGTCTCGTTTGACTCATTTGCAAGTGGTTTTGTCAGCAGGAGTAAATGTAAGATGCCAAAGAGCATTTTAATACTATGCTGAAGGTAGCAGTGCACATAAAGTATTCCCTTTTGACAACTGCCATTCATACTAAGAAAGTCCATACAAAGCAACACAAGGTCACAGCGTTTTGTTGGTTTTTAATCACATTTAAGCCTGTCTTACTCACAGAATCACAGAATCCCAAGTCATAGTTTTGTGCTTGGATTGAATCTTAAGTTGTTGAATAGAATTAATTTATTTCCACTAAAAACTGGGTCCTACACTCACTGTTTTAACTACATTAAGGTCATTAAACTGGTGTTACCATGCATGCAGGTGATCTCAGTGTTTCTGCTAAAGGACTGAAATTTAGCAAGCACATTGCATCATGGCATAATGGCATGTATATTATACTGCCAATAGTGCTTCCTCTCCAATAAGCTCTTCTGTTTATATAAAAGAATATAAGGCAAATGATATTAGTGCAGCATTTTTTCCAGCAGTGTCTTGATATAATGTTTAGAGACTGTGCTGTGGTGCCATGACAAGGTTGGAAGTTTAAAGGTGTTTGTGTAGTATGAGTTTTTATAGGATTAATTAAAACTTATAAAGCAACAGCTTCTTCCTTTTTTTTTTTTTTTTTTTTTCCCAGGCAAAAAGTGCTACTTTTTACTGTAAATTCTTATGGAAGTCCAGTGGAAAATAAGGGACTGTGAATATATTCTGAGGCATATGAAATTATAATAAATCCCTTAAAATAAAGGCCAGGTGGCAATACAAAACAGAGCAATGGTGCCCTGTGTGCTACTAACTTAGTTAGTGTAGTTACCAATAATTACCACATCCTTAAATGACCATATTGTATTCAGTAGTGTCAGTAAGGTCAATTCACAGTCATAGGATGAAAGGAAACACTCCAGTAGCTCTTAATGTGCGTCAAAATGAGAAGATTGATATTGACAAGGTGACCTTAGCTCCGAAGGGGCAGTTTGTTTTGAATGCCTGTAGTTTTTCTTGCTTATGATTGATAACCTCAATGGTACAAGTATTTTCTTTCTTTTGTTCAGTTTTTGTTTGCTTATTGTTTTTTACCTCTCACTCCCTAAAAGAGCACCACATTTCATGCTAGGTATTTCAAGTAACACAGCAGTAGTACAAGTAAGTAAAGACTAGTTTGGTTTTCTGTAGAAAGTTGCTGCACCCCAGTGCCCAGTGTCCCCTAAGTGCCCTTTGATCGTTCTCTGAATGACCCCAGCTCTGTGTTAATGTCTGGCATGCAGTTCCGCAATTAAAATGTGTGGCCTGACATCAGTTCCGAATTTGTCTTTCCTTCAATTTTTCATGTCCACCCAGTTCATTCTTTTGTCCTCTTAACCCTCTCTTTGTTAGATAACTGTGTTGTATTCTTCAGTGGCCATGAGCGAAAAGTTCACATGTAATTTCCTTTTTGTGTCTCATATTTTTCTTTTCCTACATTCAGTTTTGTGCTGAAAAGCATTTTGGTTAATAATCTGTAAAATTTGGAACCATCCACACTCTTCCACTCCATAATTATTTATTTTTTTTTCCCTAAGTGAACTGATTGGAATGATATGTGCTGAAAAACTTT